GGAAGTGCCAAGAGGGGCGACTTGGAATCTCCCTTCACTGTCCGGCCGCAGGGGGCTGTGCTGAAAGCCTCCCGGCCACCTGTGAAAGTTGAGGTCCTCTTCCACCCCACGACTGAAATGTTTCTCGAGAGCAAACCCATCCTGCTCTGCCAGGTGAGCTGCCTGGGCCCGGCTGTGTTAGCACAGTGTGTCTTGGGAGCATAAGCAGGAGAGGTGTCTTGTGCAAAGCAGGCTTTAGCTGGGGCATCCTCTCTCCTACACACACAAACAGAGACTTCCAAAACCATTTGGGAGGCTTCATAAGAGAGCTGGAAATCTGGCTCTGGAAGAGGCCTTTAAATAGGGAGGGTGAGCTGCTGGAGACCTGGGCTGAGGTCAGGGGACAGGGGTAGAGGCTGGCCTCTCTGCTGTGTTTACCAGCCCCTCCTCTGGTTGCAGGTCATTGATCTCAAATCGGGTCAAGGAGGCGAGACCGTTGCCACCATCCCAGTGAGGGTGTCGGCGAGAGCTGTGTACAGCAAGGACAGCATCGAGCCTGCCTCGCCCATCGACTTTGGTGCCATGGTTAAGGGCACCAAGAAGAGCCAGGTCTTAATTGTGGAGAACAAAGGCGCCCTCAACTTCAAATTCCTCATCCACCGAGCACCTCCACTGCAAAGGTAAGAGAAGACCTGCCCCAGCCGTTCTGTCTGAGGAGGCACCACCACACAGCTGGTGTGTGACAGGCAGCCAGACCTGGGTTATTGTCCATTTGGATTGCTGGCTTGGGAAGAGGGAGCAAAACAACACCTCAGTATCCCCATGTGTGGGACAAAGCTGGTGACAGAGCTGCTCTGTCCATGAGCTGCAGCAATGGGTGCTGCAGGCAGCTCCCCGGGGGCCATCGGGAGCAGGAAGGCTTTCCTGCATGGGGAGGAAGGCCAGCTTTGGCCTCAGACAAAGGCAGGGGAGCTCAGCATGACAGATGTCTCTGCTTTCTCCTCTCAGTTCAGAGCAAGAGGAATCTGCCCCCTCGGTCAGGGAAAGAAAACGCTCCACACAGGTGGGTGGCTCCTGCTCCTGCCCAGCGTGTGCTGCTGCAGGGGATGGGGGAGGATGCAGCTGTGCCCAGGCTGGGGGTAGGACAAGGTCTGCGGGATGGAGAGTCCATTATCTGCTCAGTTCCACTGACAGTCCCATGCTCTGGCTCTGACCTGCAGTTGTGGGGTCAAGAGAGGGGAGCAGGTCCTGTGTTTGGTGGCTGCTAGCCAGCACAGATCTGGGAACACCACAGGAGCAAACTGTCCCCATCTGAACTCCCAATCCATAGAGCACTGACAGCTCTGCTTTTTCTTCTTCCCAATCCCCTCCCTCTCTCCCATCATTCAGTCCTTTCTGCTCTCCTGTACCCCTGGAGGTTGAAGGATCCCAGCTACCACCTTCATTCTTTTCACCCCAACTCCTTTCTCTCTGCCACTCGGGACAGACGTGCAGCTCCTCCTGGCTTGTTCATCTCATCCTGGGGCTGCCTTTGGGCCATGGAGTCATCATTCCCTGCCCTGACACTGGGTGCTCGGGCCCAGCTGGAGGCTGAGGCGTGGCATCCTCCTTGCTGGGGGTGTTCAGGGTACGGCTGTTGGGCATCAGCCTGTCCTGGCGCTCTTTCTGCAGGCTCAGCTCACTGCAGGCGTGTTCACGGTGTCCCCTTGCTCCGGCTCCGTCGGTCCTGGGGGCCAGCAGAAGATCACAGTGGATTGCAGCCCAGGAGCAGAGGGGAAATGTGAGGAGCAGCTGTACATTGACATCAGCAACAGAGACCCCAAGGACAATCCCCTCGGCATTCCCTTTACCCTGACTGCCTGATTCCTGCTTCCCAGGTACGTGCTGTCCACAGGTTGCCATGGGCAGTCCTGCTGCTGATCAGCACCTAAACTTGCTACTTGGATAGAGAGGCACCTGGTCCTGAAGTCCCACCTTAAAATCCTCAGAGGCTGCAGTCCTTTTTGAGTCCACCAGTGGGGAGAGGCTGGGAGGGATGTGTGGAAGCATAAAAGGAAAGCAATGCCCTTTAAGACTGAGGTTGACTGAGCTCCATCCTCACTGACTGAGCTCTCTCATCCAAGGCTGGGTTTTGCAGTCACCTGGACAGAAAGGGCTTATCAAGCCTTCTGAGAGGCCAGCTGGGTCCAGGTGAATTCAGCAAAGAGGTTCTCCAGCCTCAGCCCTTCCTCTGGTCTGTCTGCAGCGCTTGTTGAAGACGTCACGTCCATCTTTGAGCAGTACCCGATCCACAGCAACGTCAATCTCTGCCAGACGTTACAGTCGGTGCAAGGCAACGGTGTGTTCATCAGAGATGATAACAAATTCATCTTCACCAAAGTTCAGGTTGGGCAACGGGCCACGGCTCGCTTCAAGATCTCTAATGGCAGCAGTGTCCCATGTGACATTGTGCTCTCCATCAAAGCCATGCCTGGAGAGGTAAGAACAAGAGGCCAAGGTGAGCGCTGCTCTCTAAAGGCCATGTGAGAGCCTGCCTTGTTCTCCAGAGTCATTGCGGTCTCTGGCCCAGCTGGACCAGTCCAGCTCAGTGCAGGTCAAACTGCAGGGCAGAGCAGCAATGCCAGGGGGGCACTTGCATTGAATTCCACATCTCTCAAGCAAATTTTGGCTCACGCTTCTGGGTCTTTGGTGGGAATCCTTCTGAACATCTCTCAAAAGCACACTCAGAGAGGGGCTGTTATGGACCAATGGGGCAGAGCTCAAAGCAGAGCATTTCCTGGCTTTTCCTTCTCTTGAAAGGCCAGTCCGGGGTTATTTGAGGGGTTTCTGTGCCATCCCAACCTCCCACATGTGCTGGGGTGGCTGCCCAGCCCTCAAAGCAAGCTTTTGCTCGCCTGGGCATTGGCGCAAGGTCAGCATCCCCTGGCATGGAGGGAGCCTGCCCAGGGAAGCATGAAGCAAGACAGGCTGTCTGGGGCTGTTCCCAGGGATGCATCTAGGAATGTACTGGGTCACATTGAAAGATGTGACACTAACACTGCACTGTGGGTTCCCCCCAAGCCTCACAGCCTCATCAGCAACATCTTCAAGCTGGATCCTGTCGAGATGAGCATTCCTGGCTTATCCCACGCCTTTGCTACAGAGACCTTCACTCCAGAACAAAAGGAGGACTACCAGTGCACTTTCACAGCTTCCCTTGTTAGCCCAAAAAGGTAGTGACCCTGTGAAGTATTGGGGGGACCGTTCTGGTAGCTGCCTCTCCTCTTGGTGCCTCTAATGCTTTCAGTGCCCTTAGGCAGAGTACCTGGCATGAGATGATGTAGGGGGCATTAAGCATTAGGCAGAGCAGAGCAGGAAAATGAGGAGGATACTTCAGGCTGTGTGAGGGACTCTGAAGAGAGGGCCTCAGGTAGCCAGCTGGAAGTTACTGACAAGTGCAACAGCTGAGCTGGGGCTTTCCAAGGACAAAGGCTCAGATGAAGCAGTTTCTGTGCCAGCAAGTCAAGATTTCCTCCATATTTCTGTAAAAGGAAGTGATCCTGTGTGGTTTCCAGGCATACATTAAGCTATTTTTATATCAGGGGAGTGATTGGAGGTCTTACCAAAGAGAAGCCCAGTTCCTCTCCCTGGCACCTGTGTACTGGGGCTCTGACCTGCCCTTCCCCAAGCCTTTAGTGGCAGAATTGGAACAGGGAAGTCAGCTTTCTGCCCTAACAAGCAATTCCTTCTTTAGGATCCTTGGAAATAATCTTTACTGACGGTGCTGTTGGTTTGGTTTTCCCTTCTTGCTTTTGTACTGTTCTCATGGTGTGCTTTTGCTTGTTGCATGTCTCCTATCACTGCAGCCAGAGGATTTGCCATGTCTCATCTGGTGCCTCGTTATTTATCTGCTGTACGGCATGATTCAAATGAGGGAAATTATTTAGAACTGTTATTCTGGAAGGCTCTGGCTGAAATGGTTTCTGTGCCCACCAGTTCTGCCCTCCCAACAGCGAAACCAGTCCCGCCAGCCAACGGGACTGGTCAATGCAACAGGAGCCACTGGGAGGGACTGGGAGGGACTGGGTGTCATTATCTAGTTAACTAAACCAAGTCCCTTCACTATGAACCTTAGACAAGGTAAAAGGGAGGTAACTTGGTTTATGTCTTTACAGGGGCCCAATTAAGTTTTACGATTTCTTTTTCTTTTTTTTTTTTTTGGTTCTTTTCTCTCTCCGGGTTGTGTTGACCTCAGGCTGTTTTCTTTTTATGGACCTCAAATCGTTCTCCCTTTTACCTTGTCTAAAATTTATAGTGAAGGGACTTGGTTTAGTTAACTAGATAATGACACCTTTCTGCAAAGTTGATAACTGTGCAGATAACAAGCACCCATCTGGCAGTGTCTGACCTGACAATGGGTAATGTTTTTGCTGTTGTGTAAGGAATGTATATATTTATAGAGAGAATAAATAGAGAACAAGTGTCTCCTTTCAACCCCTCCCTGATCCCCCAGCGCTGAATTTGCTTTTCTCAGATAATAAATTCTGGTTGGAAACCACCCGACTCTGGGTTTCTGTTCCTTACAAGTGTGGATCTGAAATATTATATCAATAATTTATTTATCTCAATATACTTTTATGTAAATTATTTATTTATTTATTTATTTATTTATTTACACGCATTATACATTTGTATATATATTATTGAGATAAAATGTATATCAATATATTATATATAAATATATAAAGACATATTTATATATTAATTTCTAGACATTATTTATGTATTTAAATGTTTATTTATTTTATATGTTTTATATACATTTTATATACTTACATATATTATTGATATATATTATATATCAATACATTATATATAAATATATAATTAATATATATATTATTGATATATAATATATCAATATATTATATATAAATATATAAAAACATATACTAATATATATATAAATATTAATAACCAGGACTGGGGAGAACTGGGAAGCTTTACTGGGATCACTGGGAGCAGCCAGGCGGAGGCAGAGTGACAGCAGGGACAGGGGGGACACACGACCCCCCCAAAATCCTCACGGGGATGGGGGGGGTCCAGGCTGGGCCCGAGGCTCTGGGGAGGGGCTGCGGCCGCCGCCGGCTCAGGAGCTCTGTGGGGAGAGAAAAGGGGGGGACACCGGGGTGGGGGGACAGGGGGGACACCGGGATACACCGAGACCCAGACTGGATCCAGCGGGATCATATGTACTGGGATCATACTGGGATCAGACTAGGATCATACTGGCAGCAAGTGGTTCTACACTTGGGGCAACTGGGAGCTACTGAGATCCCACTGGGAGCAATGGGGAGCAACTGGGACCATGCTGGGCACAACTGGGATCCTATTGGGAGCAACTGGGCCCACAGTGAAGGCGGCTGGGGTCATACTGGGACTGACTGGGAGCGTTCTGAGGGCAGCTGGGACCATGTTGGCGCAACTGGGGTATACTGGGAAGAAGCAGGATCATGCTGGAGGTGACTGGGATCATACTGGGAGCGACTAGGACCCCACTGGGGGTCACTGGGAGTGGCTGTGAGCAACTGGGATCATGCTGGAAGCTACTGGGAGCAACTGGGAGTGAGTATAACCACACTGGGGGCAAGTGGGATATACTGGGAGAGACCAAGAGTGACTGGGATCATACTGGGACTGACTGGGAGCAGGCTGAGGTCAACTGGGATATACTGGGAGAGACTGGGAGTGACAGGGATCCTACTGGGAGGGACTGGAACTACAGTGGGGTGACTGGGAGCAAGTGGGACCCTGCTGGGGGCAAATGGCTTTATCCTGGCAGTGCCAGGGAATGTCTGGGTTCATCCTGGGTGTGACTGACACCACACAGGGTGTCCCTGGGATCATACTGGAGTCATACTGGGAGAGACTGGGAGGGACTGGAACTACAATGGGGTGACTGGGAGTAACTGGGACCATGCAGGGGGTAACTTGGATCCTACTAGGAGAGACTGGGATCATACTGGGACTGACTGGGAGAATGCTGGAGGCAACTGGGATATCCAGGGAGTGGCTGGGAGTGACTGAGATCATTCTGGGAGTGACTGGAACCATAGTAGGGGTGAAGGGGAGCAACTGGAACCACGCTGGGGGCAACTGGGATCAGAGTGGGAGCAGTTGGGCCCCTACTGGGGTCCTACTGGGGTCATACTGGGAGTGACTGCAATAATACTGGGAGTATGTGAGAGGGACTGCAGCCATACTGGGGATGAGTGGGATCAAACTGGCTTCCTACTGGACGTGTCTGGAAGTTACTGGGATCATACTGGGGGTGACTGGACTCATACCGGGATCATACTGGGAGCAACTGGGACCATGCGGAGGGCAAATGGCATCTTCCAGGGAGTGACTGGGGCCATACTGGACTCAGATGGGGAGTCCCTGAGAGTGAAAGGAGCCATCCTGGGGGTGGCTGGGAGCAACTGGGACCACCTTGGGGGCAACTGGGATCCAGCACCATACTGGAATCATAGCGGGAGCGACTCTAAGTGACCAGGATAAAACTGGGAGTGACTGGAACTATGCAGGGGGGAACTGGGAGCCAGTGGGGCCATGCTGGAAGGCAACTGGGAACATCCTTGGAGCAACTGGGATCATGCTGGAAGCAACTGGGAGTAACTGGGAGTGACAGGGTGCATGCTGGGGGCAACTGGCATAAACTGGGAGTGACTGGGAGTGACCGGGATCATCGTGATGGAAACTGGAACCATCCTGGGGCAAGTGGAAGTAACTGGGTGCAGTGGGTTTCTGTGGCTGGGTTTTGGTAGCGGGGGGGCTACAGGGGTGGCTTCTGTTAGAAGAGTCCAGAAGCTTCCCCTGTCCCGTGGAGACAATGCCAGTGGCTCCAGGATGGAATTCCTGCCGCTGGCCAAGGCTGAGCCAGTCAGGAGTGACAGCAACGCCTCTGGGATAACATATTTAAGAAAAAGAAGGAATTCCAGCCAGGGAAGAGCGGAGTGAGAACATGGGAATAACAACGTAGACCCCAAGGTCAGCGCAGAAGGAGGGGCAGGAGGTGCTCCAGGCACTGGAGCTGAGGCCCTGCAGCCCGTGGGGCAGAGCAGGGTGGGGCAGCTGTGCCCCTGCAGCCCCTGGGGGAGCATCGGGGTGCAGAGACCCCCCTGCAGACTGGGATGGACTGGGAGCCCTTAGGAGGGAACTGAGAGCCCTTAGGGAGGGACCGGGACAAAGTGGGAGCCCTTTGGAGAGGACTGGGATGAAGTGGGAAAGGTCCGCGAGCCCTCAGAAAGCCACCGTGGCCCTCCCGTCATTTGCGTAGCGCTGAGGGCAGGGCCCTTGCGCCATTTGCGTAGCTTTACGCAACTGACGTAACTCCCCGATTGCCATTACCGGCGCCCTCCTTACGCTGTTTGAGTAGGGCTGTGGGCATTCCTGGCCCCCTTAGGCAATTTGCGTAGCGCCGCTCCATTGCCGCCCGCGGCGCCGCCTTACGCCGTTTGCGTATCCCTGCGCCGTTTGCGCAGCGCGGCGGGGGCGGGCCCGTGTCCCTGCTGATGTTTATTTATCAGTGTCCAGGCGCTCGACCCCTCAGCCCCTCACACACCCACGGGCCCCACGGCAGCGCGGGGGAGGATCCCGGGGGTGTCCAAAAGCTCCTCCGAAAGTCAGTTTATGGCTTTGCAGAGGGCTCTCGGGAGTCACCGAGGGGCTGAATGTAAAGAGAGAAAAATTAAATCTTTAGGGGGAAAAAAACATATAACAATTGCATGTCTGTGTTCCCGAGGAGCCGTGGGTGTTTTTAGGCAGCTGCCTGCAGAGGCCATCGCCGTTTCGTGAGGCGGCATTAATGCAGCGGGAGGAGACTTGTTCTGCTGTTCACAGAAATTCGGATTTTAAGGTTTTTCTCCTTGGTTTGAAACTTCTTCATTCTTCCTTCGCTCTCTTTCAGAGCAAAGGTTTTAATTTTTAAACTTAAGAGGAAAAAAGTATTAACAACAAGTGAGGAAAACTAGGGGGAAAAGTTCTTCTGAAAGGATTACAATGTGCAAGCAGAATCAGATCTCTCTCCAGGAGAGAAAAAAATATTAGAGGTGTAAATTGGCTCCAAAAATGCCCCCAAGGGCATAGGGAGGATAATCAGGATGACAGCGTGGCTGAGCAAGTGTGTTCTGCTCTATACCATTAATTTTCTGATGTTTAATACTTCAGCAGGTCCAGGACTTCCAGGACTGTCCTGGTGGCTGTGATCACAAATGACTCATCAGAGCCACTTGAACAAGAAAAGCCTTTCTAAACAAGGGCATTTCTGAGGCTCTTGCTGGTTTTCTTGCCTTCCAACTGACCATCTTTGACTTCAGGGAGGTTGGTCTCAGGCTCAGGAAGAAGCCGGACAGCCCTCAGGAGACAAAGCTGCCCAAGACTGTCCGGCCCCCAGGCACGAGTGAGAACTCCAGTTCCAAGGTAGCCTTTTCCTGCCCTTTTCCTTGCTGTTTGATGTGACACTTGAAGAGGCTGCGTGCCTTGCCTCCAGCTCATTGAAACCCCTCAGTGTGCGGGTCCTGTTGTCGTTGCAAACTGCTGGTGGTGGTGGAGTTCCTTCTGCTGGGGCAAAGGCAAAACGTGTTCTCCTAGTGAGATGCTGGAGTCCTGATCTGTGCTAAGCCAACACAAATAATTTCTGCTGAAGCTGGTGGGGTTTGCTGGAGTTTAGCTACCATGGCGAAGGCACAATAGCGGGGGAAGGCTGGGGCAGGACACAAGGGCACGAGCTTGCCATTTTCCATTGTCCCACTGAAAGAGCCACCTCTTGCTTTGGTGTCTCTCTCCCTCCAGCATGCCTGCTGTGCCAGCAATCAGAGGCTGACCCGGACATCTGTGGAGAAAACCTTCAGATAAATGGTTTCTGTGCCCACGTGTTCTGCCTGGTGAGTTGCTCCGTGGGCTCTCTCCAGCTTTCCAATGGGCAGTTCCCACCACCCTCTCTCCTCAGCAGTGCATCATCTTTCCTGCAGGTTTTTGCCAGCCTCCTTCGTCAGCAAGAGAACGATCGAGTAGGACTCCTTGGCTTTCTCCCAAGGGAGATCCCAGATATAGTCTCCCAGGCAGCACAGAAGGTGAGAGCCTGACAAGAGCAGGGAGATTTGGGCCAGCCTGCAAAACCGCCTGGTTCCACAGGGACTGCATCCAAGTAGGAGTGGTTCTGTCACCCCGGGGGGCACAGCAGGGGCTCAGCAGCACCAGGGCCTCACTCTGGCTGTGAAGCAGAAGGACCCAGGAGAAGAGCTCAGCCAGATAATCCCACGCTTTGGACACTTTGTCCTCACCTCCCTGAACCCGTTTGCTTCCCCAGGCCCTGGGAATTGCTCTGGTGCTCCTCCTGTGCTGCCGAGGGCACCCACAGACACTGCTCTGGCCTGAGGGACAGCATAACCAGCTGGGAATGTGATGGCTGTGCTGGTCTGGGCACAGGTAAGAGGCAAACAAACCTGGTGCCCCTGGGCCTGGTGCCCCTGGGCCTGGCAGTGGGTGCCCAGGGTGGGTTTGGCAGAGCCGCACTGCTCTGGCCTATCTTGTCCCAGGTCTGGAACGATCTTGTCCCTCCTGCTTCCCCTCACAGCCTCCCGAGATGACTCAGGGCTTGCTGGTGTCAGCGTGGCCAGACAGTCAGGACTGGAGCCTTCTGACAGCTCCAGGGAACCTGAGACCATCAGCCCCAACACAGGCAGCCTGGCGCTATCAGGGCTGTCTCCCAGTTCTCCAGCACTGGAGACCGTCAGCCCCAGCCCCAGCGCCCAGCTGCCATCTCCTGGATCTGCAGCACCACAGACCAGCAACCTCCACACCACCCAGAGACCATCAGCCCTGGGAACTGCTCCTGTGCAGAGAACACCCCGAAGGCGAAACCAGTCCCGCCAGCCAACGGGACTGGTTAATGCAGCCAGTGCCAGGAGCCACTGGGAGGGACTGGGAGGGACTGGGTGTCCTTTCACTATAAACTTTAGACAAGGTAAAAGGGAGAATGATTCGAGCTAATTAAAAAGAAAACAACCTAAAGTCAACACAACTCGGAGAGAGAAAAGAAAAAGAAATCGTAAAACTTAATTGGGCCCCTGTAAAGACATAAACCAAGTTACCTCCCTTTTACCTTGTCTAAGGTTCATAGTGAAGGGACTTGGTTTAGTTATAGATAATGACACCTTTCTGAAAAATTGATAACTTTGAGCAGATGTTTGCTTGTTATCTACACAATGTCTGACTTGACAATGTGTAATGAATATATATATTTATATAGAGAATAAAATAGAACAAGTGTCTTCTTTGGGGGTTGTTCAAACCCCTCCCTGATCCCCCAGTGCTGAATTTGCTTTTCTCAGATAATAAATTCTGGTTGGAAACCACCCGGCTCTGGGTTTCTGTTCCTTACAAGTGTGGATCTGAAATATTATATCAATAATTTATTTATCTCAATATACTTTTATGTAATTTATTTATTTATTTATTTATTTATTTATTTATTTATATACACATATTATACATTTGTATATATATTATTGATATAAATTATATATCAATATATATAAATACATAAAGACATATTTATGTATTAATTTCTATACATCATTTATGTATTTAAATGTTTTATTTATTTTATATACATTTTATATACATTTTATATACTTACATATGTTATTGATATATATTATATATCAATATATTTATATATTGATATATAAAAACATATATATAAATGTATATATTCTTTATATATTTGAATATTTATTTTATATATATTTTATATATTTATATATTATTGATATAATATATCAATACATTATATATAAATATATAATTGATATATTAATATATATTATTGATATATATCATATATCAATATATTATATAAAAATATATAAAAACATATATTAATATATATAAATATTAATAACCGGGACTGGGGAGAACTGGAAGCTTTACTGGGATCACTGGGAGCAGCCGGCTGGAGGCAGAGTGACAGCAGGGACAGGGGGGACACACGACCCCCCCAAAATCCTCACGGGGATGGGGGGGGTCCAGGCTGGGCCCGAGGCCCCGGGGAGGGGCTGCGGCCGCCGGCGGCTCAGGAGCTCTGTGGGGAGAGAAAAGGGGGGGACACCAGGGTGGGGGGTCCCCGGGGGGGCACAGACGCTCTGGGGGGACACACGACCCCCTGGGACCCCCCTCACCTTCTGGCGCAGGTAGAAGCCGAGCCCCAGCGCCAGGGAGACGAAGGCCAAGAGGAAGCCCCGGCCCCTCCTCCGGAGCAATTCCTCAGGCTGATGGAGCCCGGCAGGGCCGGGGCCGCCGGCGGTGTCCGATCCCGGCAGGAAGCGGGGAGGGCCCGGCGGGGTCTGATAGAAATAAATCAAGGCAGAGCTCTCTCTTTCTTTTCCCCCCTGGGCAGTGACCATCAAGAGCTGTCCCTGCTTCCCAGCAGAAGCTGCACACACTTCAACAAAGTCTGTGGAAGAATCTGCTCTGTCAAAGTTGGCCCTGGGCTTTTATGCTTATCCAGGGATGGATCAGCAGTCACATATTCCCAGGCCAGTGAGCAGCTGACCTGTCAAACTCTGCTTCCAAAAGCAGGATGTGTGTTGGAAGGTTGGGGAACCAGGCTGGGTTGGGCCCAATTCAACACTAAACCAAGCCCTTGGCACCAGCAGTAACTCCCCACAGAGAGCTGGCAGTGCTTGCATTCTCCCATCAGATTCTTTTCCAGGTAGAACATCCTGCTACAAGGGGTCTGTTACTACCCACCCCAGAAAGGGGTTGGGAGTAACCCAGGTTCTTATTAATAAATCCCTGGGGGTGGATTAAAGTGAAACGACACTGAATAATCAGTGTTTGAAAACATATGTATGTAGGGTTTATTTTAGAACAATTTCATTTCAAAGGTAAACAAGTATGTTTCCATTTTGGGTGTTATCATCTCTATCTCTCATCTATAGCAATATGGCATAAAGAGAACCTTTAGGGGAAAATGCATAAGTAGAGAAAGGAAAGACAGGATAAGGGTGAGGGAGAGTAACGGAAAGCAAAGCTGAGAGTGGAAAGCTGTCTATAGTCACTGCCCACGGGGTCCAGCGATGGAACTTGGCAGTTGCAGCTCCAATGTCTGTCAGTTGAAGTGGTGGCCTTGATCCGTTGGGGGTGGGGGAGGGAAGCCCCCACACTCCAAGAAGTTATGAGTTATTATATCCATGGACAGTGTCCTGGGCCGTGCCTCGAGCCTCCAGGGTCTGCTGGGCCTGCGCAGAGTTCCCGTGAGGGGCCTGGTAAACACGTCTCTTCTCGCCTTTTCAGGGCTTGACACCTTCAGCAGCACTGGCAGGGGGGATGGGTCCAGCTGCCTCTTCCCAGCCTGCAAAAGTGCCCTGGCAATCCTAGAATGCATAAATCATTGTGGCAGTTTGAGACCCTCAAAAATCCAATTTCCAAGTCCTAGCCCCCCCCCAATTTGTTTCAGTGTGAGAGGGTTTTCAGACAAAACACAGCTCAGTATGGGGGGAAAGGAATTATATTACAGTTTATTACATACACAAATAAATACTATAATACATTATATACACAATTCTAACTATCTCTCCTATGGAAAAGCAATATATTTACATTAGATCAAATCCCTCCTTTCCCTCCAATAAAAGTTCTGAAGGGAAGATGAAAAGATCCTTTCCACTTTCAGGGCAGCAGTGTCTCTCCTCTTCAAGGCAGCAGTCGCAGCTGGATTTGTCGTAGCTGGAAAATCTCTCTCTCTCTCCATTACAACACAGGGGGCTTCTCTCACCCCTTGGCCCTTCGGCTCCAGCCAAAGGTCTCTCTCCTGTGGACTGCGAAAGCAGGGACAAGGCTCACCTCTCCACAGTCATATCACGGGGTACTGGGCACCCCTGACAGTCCCTTCCTCAGGGGATTCAAGTTCCTCCTGAGTTTAGGGCTTTCAGTTCAGTTTTTGCCCCAAGCGTTCTAGCAGAGCTCCTTTGCTCCGTCTCAAACTGTCAGCATGGCGAAGGGGGGCAGGAAGGCCTCTTCCCCCCTCCACATTCCTCCTGGCTGTCCTGGTCCAGCTCCAGGACATCTCTGAGCTTCTCAACCTCTCTCTCTCTCTCTCTCTCTCTAGTTGCTGCTGCATTTCAGGACTCCCTTCAAGTGGAAGTCCACCCCCTCCTTCTAAGAGGGGTCTCAAAGGGTTTGGAGAAATAAAGCCAGGCTCACCCCAAACAGTCTCTGCTGAGCCTGGTGCTCTGTCTCTCCGTCGGGCATCTCTGTGTCTCTCAGCTTGGCTCTGTGCCACCTCACTCCTGCTGACTGTCTTCTTGGCTCTCAGCCACAGCTCTCTGTTCGGTGCTGTCTCTGCCGCCGCTCCTGCTGCCCACTCACAGTGGAGAAAAACTCCCTCAGCTCTTGGCCACAGTACTGGGCCCAGTTTAACACTGTTCCGAGTTTCTACAGCCCCAGCCAGGGGGCTGGGGGGTCTTGGCCCCCAGCGGGGCTCCCTGGCCCCCTCTGTCCTCGTGGTCTCAGACCATGGCTGCTGTTCTTCTTTCAGCTACATAATCTCTTCTTTTCTGGCCTGTTGTGATATGTTTAATTTTGCAGGGGTGCTGATTGGGTTAACACCAAGAATACCACCTGCTGGGGTTAACCACTTTCCAACTCCAGGGGAAAACCCTTTTTAACCCAGGACAGTCATGAACCATTTCAGTCTCTGACTCCTCACCTTGGCCAGTCAGTTCCTGGGAACAGCCCTGGCAGCGCAGCCCCCAAGGGCACACGATGTGCTGCTGGGCTGGAGAGGACCCTCCTCAGCCTGGGCAGCAGGGCTGCAGGGGGGGATTCCCTGCCTCTCCCCAGATGGGCCCTTCCTGCCCACCAGCTCCTGCTCCAAAGGGCTTCCACACAGCCTGGGGCACTTGTCCCACTTGGGCCCTTGATCTGCCCCAGGGCATCTCTGGGCAGTGGCCAGCTCTGGGACTGCTCTGGCAAGTCATGACCTGAAGCCACGAGTGTGGAATTTAGGAAATAGTTGAAATCTCTGCAGAACAGAACTCTTGGTGACTGCTGAAGGCTTCATGAACAGCATTGCCACATCTTTTCTTTTTTTTTTTAAATTCATCAATTTTTTGTAGGCGAACACCAGGACTATGAGACTTGGAAAGAGCAGCTTTAGACACGAACCCGCTGCAGCAGCGACTTCTGGGATCGAGCAAAGCAGAAAAACAACAGCCACTTGTGTTATTTATTGTAGGGGTTGCCCCCCCTGAGCTGTGTATTTTTCCTGACCCACGGGGGTCCTGGGTGTCAGCCATGATGTTACCTGAAAGCTGGGACTGCTCAGGGCTGGAGCGTGGCCCCAGCACAGCCTCTCCCAAAGAAGGACAGGGCAGAGGGGCTCTGGGCTGTGGGCAGCGAGGGCCAGCTGGGCTGGCAGGCAGCTCCAGGGCTCCTCTGGGGCTGTCAGAGAGGGGCTGTTCCCGGACCCTTTGGGCTTCTGGGGGCTTCTTTGGTCTGATTCTGTAGAAGAGACACAGAACTGAGGCAAGAGCAGCAGGACTACAGCTCCTGGCCCCTCAGATGGACCAACGCGGCCACTCAGCTGGGCTGTGCCAGAAGATGACAGCTCCCGGCACGCTGAGGAGCCTGGCCCTTCCAACTGGATCTCTGGGGTAGTTTAGTCTAGGCCTTCCTTGGTGAATCCAAGGAATCTCCCTGGGTGCCATCCTCCCCCTTCATCCCTAAGCCCCCCTCAAGACTCCACCAGCCTGGCAGGGCCACTCAGCCACCCCTGGGGCAGCTCAGGGTGCCGCGCAGGGGCCTGGGGTGCAGCAAAGGCCTTGTGAGGGCTCCTGAGCAGCCCGGTGCTGGAAGAGCTGTTGAGTGGGGAAAAGCTCTTGCTGGTCAGTGGGAGAAAGAGAAGAGGCAACAAAAGCCATGGTTTCAGTTAAGCTTGAGCAAATGTTATGCATTTAATGTGACTGAAGGGCTCTGAGGCCAGACTCTGCAGTGTGGGGACAGGAAAGGGATGTCCTGGGGGCACGCAGGGCTGTCTGAACATGGGGCTCCTTGGGATGTCCCGAGGAGACATGAGAGCAAAGTGGGGCCTGGAGACACTCTGAGGGCAGCTGAGTGCCAAGGGCTGAGGCAGGCCTGTGTCCCCAGGGGCACCCTGCCTGTTCCAACCTGCGTGGTGGCTCCCTGGGACCCGTTGCTGGGGGCAGGTGCCATGTCAACAAGCACTGGAACCTGTTGCTAGCGGCCGGCAGCGTGTCACA